TGAGTTTCACCTTTTGATTATCTGTAGTGATGTGATCGAGTGGGAGGAGCAGTCCACCGCCAGATATGTGAATGGACTGCACCAATCAATTCAAGATGTGGTAGTTTTGCAGCAGTGTTGGACCATTGATGAGGTCTATAACCTTAAAAAGAGGGCTGAAACTCAGCAAAAACAACCCTCGAACAAGTAGGGTGCAAGTGCGAGTGATGGGGCAGCCCGTGGTGGTATTTTGGAAGAAAAAACGTGTGACTACTGCAGGTTCGACATCTCGCACTACTGGAACAGCCAACCAGTAAGGCACCTTGGACCAAAAAGGGGTTGTTTCGGGAGTCGGGTGACCCGAAAGGGGTTCAGGTAGCAACATCAAGTGCTACAAGTGTTTGAGGATTGGACATGTCTCATCACAGTGCCCAAACCACAAGTTTGTTAACCTTCGTATGAGTTTTCTGATGAGGACAGCACGCATTCTTTTGAAGGTGATCTCATTTACAATGAACCAGTTGATGAAGAAGACGCAGAAATAACTTACAATGATCGTGGGGAGGCATTGGTGATCCTGCACAGCATGATTACGCCTCGGGTCATGGAAGAAAATGACTGCTTACGTACAAACATATTTCACACACGTTGTACTGCATATGGGAAAGTGTGTGATATAATCATTGATGGAGGGAGTTGCAAAAACATAGTTTCTCAAGAGATGGTTGACAAGCTTAAGCTCAAGAGGGAAAACTATTCAAAGCCTTATAAAATTGCATGGTTCAAGAAGGGCGTTGAGGTAATTGTTTCTAAATGATAGTCTTGTTTCTTTTTCTATTAGAAAAACATACAAAGATCAAATTGGGAATATGTAGTATCTATGGATGCTTGCCATTTGTTGTTGGGGAGACCATGGGAGTATCACAGGCCTACCACTCATGATGGTTTCAAAAACAATTACTCCTTTGTCAAAGATGGAGATAAAGTGATTCTAGGACACTCTAAGATGGAAAGTACTTCAAAATCAGAAGATGGCAGCAACACTAATCTCTTGTCTTTGACAGAGTTCATGAGGGATTTGGGTGAGTCGGGTGTGTTGTATTTTGTGGTGCCAGTTGAAGAACATGCCCATTAGTTTTGTTCCTCCTAAGCTAGAGCCATTGATGAGGGAGTTCACTGATGTCATTCCAGAGGGATTACCTCCTATGCAAAACATAAATCATCACATGGACCTCATCCCTAGTTCTAGCCTCCCAAATAAAGCAGCCTATAAAATGAGCCCTAAGGAGCATGAGGAGTTACATAGGCAAGTTTCAAAGTTGCTAAAAGGCGTTTATCAAGGAGAGTATGAACCCATGTGCAATGCCAGCATTGTTGACACCCAAGAAAGATGGTTCTTGGCACATGTGTGTGGAGTGTGGACAGCAGGGAAGTTAATAAAATCACCATAAAATACCGTTTTCCGATGCCGCGCCTGGATGATATGTTGGACATGTTGGTAGGGGCTACGATTTTCTCTAACATAGATTTGATAAGTAGTTACCATCAAATTAGAATCAGGCCAAGTGATGAATGGAAGACAGCGTTTAAGACACGAAAAGAATTGTCTAAGTGGCTAGTTACGCCATTCAGGGTTATCAAATGCACCTAGCACCTTTATGAGGCTTATGAACCAAGTCTATAAGCCATATATAGGAAAGTTTGTGGTGGTATACTTTGATAATATCCTCATATACAGCACTAGTAAAAGGCAGCATATGGACCATCTAAGGCTTATGTCGGAGTTACGAGGGGAGCAGCTATATGCAAATCTAAAGAAGTGTAAATTCATGACCAGCAATTTAATTTTCTTGGGTTTCGTGGTTTCCGCTGAGGGAATCAAGGTGGATGAGAGAAAGGTGGCAGCGATCGGAGAATGGCCAACCCCTTCATTCGTCCATGACGTGCGTTGTTTCCATGGGCTGGCCACTTTTTATCGATGGTTCATTAGAGGATTCAGCACCATCCTAGCACCACTCACTGACTGTTAGAAGAAAGGTTCTTTCAGATGGACCCCATAAGCATAAAAGAGCTTTGAAAGGATTAAGCAAGCCACGACTGAGGCACTTGTGCTAGCATTGCAAACTTTGATAAGATGTATGAGATAGAGTGTGATGCCTTGCATGTTGGTATTGGGGTTGTTTTGAGCCAAAAGGGCAGACCAACGGTATATTTCGGCGAGAAGTTGAATGATACACACCAACGGTACTCCACATTTAACATGGAATTTTATGCACTCATTCAGGCTTTAAGACACGGGAGTCAATATCTTATTCAGCAAGAGGCGTTGCGATATATTAATTGGCAACATAAGCTGAATAGCCGACATGCTAGGTGGGTGGCATATTTGCAAGAGTTTACCTTCGTAATTCGTCACAATGTTGGAAGTCAAAATAAAGCTACAGATGCCTTGAGTCGGAGTGTAACTTTTGACCACTATGGCAGCTATGGTGACCCGGTTTGAGTGTCTACGTTACTTGTGTGTTGATGATGACGATTTTGGAGATATTTGGGCATAGTGCCAAAGTGGAGTTGCAGGAGATTAAGTGGTACAAGATGGGTTTCTCTTCAAAGGGAATCAATTATGCATTCATGTTTGTTCTCTTAGAGAGGTCCTTATTTTAGAGCTACATGGTGGGGGCAGTGTCAGAACACAGGTTTATATTCTCCACTTTCCATACCCAATGCAGTATGGGGCAAATGTTAGCATGAACTTTGTGTTGGGTCTTCCGCGGACTCAACGAGGTATGGACTCTATATTTGTTGTGGTTAACAAGTTTTCAAAGATGGCGCACTTCATTGCTTGCAAGAAAACTCCAGATGCAACTGATATGGCCAACTTATATTTTCGTGAGGTGGAGAGACTTCATGGTTTCCCAAAACAATTACATCAAATAGGGATACCAAGTTTCTCAACCACTTTTAGAAACTTTATGGAGCAAGGTGGGTTACAAAGCTATCAAACTGAGGTGGTTAGTTGAACTCTTGGTAACCTACTTTGGAGCATAGTGGTTGACAAGAGGAGACAGTGGGACTTGGCTTTGCCGCAAGCCGAGTTCACTTACAACAATTTCCCGCAGTAGGTCAACTGGTAAGTGCCCATTTGAGGTTGTGGATGGGCGAAGTCCTACCCATATGCTGGATTTGCTCCTTTACCAGCTAATGAGGAAGGAACTTAGATGCAGACAATATGATTGAGGACATGAAGGATGACTGTAACCAGGCTCGAGCTAATTTGGAGATTGCCACTACCAAGTACAAGGAAGTTGCAGATAAATATAGAACGATTCAAAAAGTTTCAGGTGGGTGATTTGGTGACGGTTTATCTACACAAAGATAAGCATCCTGTGGCAAATACAACAAGCTGACTGACAAGAACATTGGATCATTTCAGGCGCTGAAGAAGATGGGGACTAATGCCTATCAGATCGACCTTCCAGCTGAGATTGAGACATCGAATGTGCTCAATGCTGATGATCTTTTCGAGTACCACAGACCTAAATTAGCTTTAGAAGAAGAGCTGAACTCGAGGTCGAGTTCCCCCAACTGGGGGAGAATGATGCGCCTGGCAATCATTTGACTAGTCAAGAAAGTCCCATGAGCCTTTTGACCCAATCAATCCATCCTTTGACGACCCCCTTTATGATGATCCACATCCCAAGGTCACCAAGAGATCCAAGAGAAGGCAGACTTTTTAAAGGAATTTGTTTTTAGTTTATTGTTGTTTTTGCAGTTTTCTAATTATTTCTAATGCTTTACGTAAAGTTAGGGCAGTTTATAGATTTTTTATGTTTTATTTTAAGTAAAGGGACTTATGGGGTATTTTTATAATGTTTTAACTTAAGTGTGGATAGTTTTGGTCTTTTTTTTATCATAATGTAACAAAAGGATTTGGGGTGTTTGGGTTTCTAACACTTTTGGGGCACAAATAGTAAAAACAGATAGTGAATAGTGCCAACAAGCCCTATCACTTTTTTGTGCAATGAAAGCCAAATCCACTTAAATCTGCCCTGTTTTGATAGTTATTGAACTGCTTTTGGCATCTTTTCTCTATTTTCCTGCATCACAACCAATGGGTACCCTCCACTTATAAGAGGCCATATGGGCTCAATCAATGGGATCCCTCCACCTACAAGAGGCCTCATGGACTCAACCAATTGGAGCTCATTACCCCTCACCCTCTCCGTTATAAATAGAAGGACTAAGCTTCATTCGAGGCAACCCATAAAGACGTGTAAAGAAAGCTTATCAGAGAGAAAATGCGAGAAAAAAATAGATTTGTAAGGAGTAAACAACAAAGAGGAGTTCCATAGCTCCTTTAAGGCGAAGACCATGGTGAAGCCTTGAGAACACTCCGCTAGACTCAAGTAGGAGAATCGGCACACTTGTGACTTGACCAGTGATTTCAATCTCATAAAGGTGACAACAACGCACTACCACTCCATAGACGTCCAGAAGGAAAACCGGCACTTCTTGACCCAAGATTTCAATCTCTTTCACTTTCTCTCGTCCTAGGGATGGAGAATCAAGGGTCTCCTCAATCAATGGAGATGTAATTAACAGTCGGATCTTTAGATCCGACCAGCAATGGTTCAAAATCAATAAAGTTCCATCCTATCAGTTAATTATCAAAAATTATGATATTAAATGTTTGATCTGTCCAGGCTATTAGCAATCAATCTAAATCACAAATTCACAATACTATGCCAGCCATGATTACCTGCATCTAATAGAATGAAGTGGAGTAGAGAAACATGGATATGAAAATCTCTACAATCATATTTAGAAGGAAATGAACTCTAGACAAGTTCACCAATGAAAGAGAATAAGGCCCATTAGATGAGCTAACCAATGAATTCTAACCCAAGTAATCCAGATTTCAGCAGTTACAAATTGAAGAGCCATCGCTCAAAATACATATGTTTGCATTGATGCAATCGTATTGAACATCACATTTATGCTACATTTAATATAGAAAGTACCTATTTATATCAGCGATTAAAGGAGTTGCATATATGCTTGAGCTGACCTCTGCCTGCCACCGTAATTCTACATGCTTAGGACAAGTGGAGTTTAACAGAGAGTCTTCGTCTCTACAAAGGTAAGGAGTAGTGATCAACATCATGGAACACATAAAATTGATTAGTTATATTAATAGAATAACTCCTTTCCAAGAATAGTAAAGTAAAACAACAAAGGTCAGCAATCTTCCTTCAAGAAAAAATCAGAGAATCTTCTGTGCAAAATAGCATGTGCATATAAAAGCTTAAAGTATTACAACAAAGAAAATAAGCAGCATAAATCAATACTGTACAGCTAACATCATGCATCCAATAGCTTTAAAAACGAAGTTCGAAAAAAATTTATTGGGAAAAAAATTCACCGAAACAAATCAGGGTAAGGAAAAAAAACTCTAAATCAAATTCACAAATGAAACCAAGGAAAATAACACCTTCTTGGAAGATCTTAACATTCTGGAATAGCAGTGCAAATTAAGTTTCATTGATATGTGATAGTTGGGTTTACATTGAAATTGCTTTCTTGCTAATTCTTTCCATTAAAACAAATAGATACATTGATCACAAATGTTACTCTATCATAATTCAAATACGTAATTGACCAAAATCAATATCTACGAGGGGTCTAGATACGAAGTAAGTTCAAAAATTTATCAGAAACACAGGAACGTTTTTTTTTTTTTTTTGCTATGATTGCATTGGCCAAAAAAATAAGGGTGATGAGTACTTACATATTGGGATACCCCAAGTTATCATCAGTAGCTTGGCGCTCCCTGAACTTGTTCTTAGTCGAACCATCAGGGTTCGATCCAGCGCCATCGCAAATGGAGGCTGTTAAGGTCAATAAAATAAACCAGCACAGCAAAAATTTGTCTACGAGTTTCATCAGATCTAAAACTGCACAAATTATGACACTATTAGTGATCTGAAGCTAAAAAACACAGCCCAAGATTAAGAGCATGATAGATTGGACAAAATGGAAACCAATTAATTAGACTTTAGAGAGCCTTGATATATAATTACGTGCATATCTATTTAGAGAGAGAGATGGACTGCAGTTCTCTGCGTGACTAGACATATACAAATAAATGCATAGAGAGAGATATGAAAAAAGAGATTCGCATATAACCAGAGAGACATAAAGTCCAGAATGGGGTTATAGGCAAATATAAAATGAACGAGAGATAGAGAGAGAGAGAGAAGCTCAACATAAACACTTGCGCGGTACAGAGAATCAAGAGCATTCTGACAAAAAACCCGCGCAATTGCAGATGGGGAACGAACGTAATAGCAAACGAGGAGAGAGAGAGAGACTCACAGTGGAGGACCAAGCAGGGTTAGGGTAGAGTCCAGAAGAAAGTAAACTGCGATGACCTGAGAGAGAGAAATTGAAGTCTAAAATAGCAGAGAGAGAGAGATTAAAGTCTAAAATGGCCGATCGGAGGGGGATTTCCTTCTGATGGAGCTGCGAACATGACGGATTCGGATCAAATAGTTATTAATGGAGAAAATTAAGTCGTCACCGGGAAACATTTCCGGTGCAACGGAAAACTCCAATTTTCCTAGGTTTTTTTTTTTTTTTTCTTCTTTCTTTTTCTTTTTTTTATGAAGTTTCTCTTGGCAAGCTTAAGCTTTATGAAAATAAAATAAAGCTTCACGTCAAATCCTTGCTTTATGAAAATAAAATAAAGCTTCACCTCAAATCCTTGACTGTAAAACACTTTCGACAACGAAAATCTCCATGGATCTAAAACGATTTCCAACTCAGATAATAAAATTTAAAACTCAAAAAATAGTACAAATCTTGCGAATTTATGAACTAGGGTGAAATTAATGGTTTAGATAAATTGTGATAATACACACAATTTATAGAGCTTCTAATCCTAAAAAAAATTACAACTAATATGTTCAAGTCGAGATTATTGATTTAAGGATTTTCCAATGCTTGAATTGTAATTTTTTACGAATTATGAGGTGAGGCTTTACTCATCCCATTTTTCTTTTTTTCGTTTTTTTTTTTTTTGTACAACTTCTCATATTACTTTTTATGAACAATAATCTATAAGTCATAGTTTAGGACTAGATGGTATCTCGATAGAAATTTGGAAGTGCATGGGGGAGATTGACATTGACTAACTGACAAAGTTGTTCAACAATGTGTTTAGAACAAATAAGTCAGACGAATGGAGGAAAAGTACGGTACATAATTACAATAATAAATGAGACATAAAATTGTGAGAACTATCAAGGGATCAAGCTTATGAGTCATGCTATGAAGCTCTGAGTAACAATGATTGAGCAGTGACTAAAGCACGAAACAAATGTATCTGGAAATTAATTTGGTTCTATGCCAAGAAGATCAATAATTGTGGCTATTTTTCTTACTTAGGCAATTGATTGAGAAGTTTAGGTCGAAGATAAAATACCTCCACATGTTTTTATTGATCTAGATAAAGCTTATGATAAAATACGTCAAAATTTGACTAGCGGGTGTTGGAAAATAAACGAGTCTCGAGACATTACATCGACTTGGTGAGAGATATATACAATGAAGCACTAATTAGTGTACCAACGAACAGTGAAGAGACATGTGTGCTTTGAGTGACAGTGGGTCTACATCAAGAGTTAGCAATGAGGTCGCACCTCTCTGTTATAGTTATTGACAATTTAACTAAGCACCTATGGGATGAGATATTGTGGTGCATGTTGTTCATAAAAGATATAGTTTTGATTGATGAAACCCGAAATTGTATCAACACAAAGCTAGAACTTTAGATTAATGCTCTAGAATTTGAAGGTTTTAAAATTAGCCCGACTCGGAGGCGGAGATGAAGAAGAGAAGGAGGCGGAGGGGCATTGAAGGTTAGAGGAGTGAAAGATGATGGGATCTTTGTAGATGATTCTATTGTTAAGATTCGGTTCTATTTGGCCGCATGTATTTTTGAAGATGCTCGTTTTCCTATTATGGGCTCCTTCTCTCCTCCTTCTACGACCATTTTTTGCCTTAGTGATTGGGCCAGAAAGGGATGGGGTCTCTCCAACGCCCCTATTGTGAAAATCATGGATTCCTTTAAGATTGTGTTCCTTCTTCAAACTAAAGAGGACGCTGCAGTTGCTTTGAAAATTTGCTTTGATAGTATCCAAGGCAAACTGTTATCTCTTGATCAGTGGAGGCTTCATCTCATATGTCTTATGTACAGAAAGAGAACTTGTGGATTAATCTTCAGGGTACTCCATTCCATGCTTGGACGTTAGAAACTATCAGAATGGTGGCCAACTGTTGTGGGGAGTTATGTGATCTTGATAAAACTACCTTTACTGGTGTTGATCTTAGCTCAGTCAAGGTTCGTATTTAGAAAATCAAAGGTGCCCCAATTCCAACCCTAGTGAGATTGGTTGTTGATCACTGTGGTTAGCGTTGTAAAGAGTGGCAGGGTAGCTAAGGTTTATAAGGAGAACAATTGTAGTTTGCCTAAGGAAGACGTCCTTGATGATGAAGGTTGGATGATGGTCCCCCACCATAAAAATAATCGTTAGATAGCAACGCCAGTTGCTCCGGCTAGGTTTCCGACTGACTTTCACCAGCAGCTCCATCGGAATAGGGATTGACGCGGCGTTGGGATTGACGTTACGAAAATTCAAAATTTGAAAGTGACAAAACGGTGGATCCCAGTAGGCCGTTTCATGGATTTGTCAACTACGGATACAATAACTACTTCCTTTTTGCAAGATGGATCATCAAGTTTGGGTGGTCACGCGCCCTCACCTGCTAAAACTGATCCACTCGTTGACGCCATTTTCGTGCATGACAAGGTGGAGGCACTTTTCCCGAAGGTTGATGAGGTGACGGCAATGCCGGTTTCTATGATGTCGTTGACAGATGCATCATTATGCCACCTTCCTCCCTTGGTGAACCCTAAGACGGTGAGCAATTTTTTATCAAAGTTAGCTGCTCCTTTTGGTTGTAAGTGGAGCCATTTTCTTCTGCTATCGGTGTTAGGTTTTCTTAACCACCACAAATTTTCATCATTTGCGATCCATTATACTCTGGTTTTATTGGTAAGATGTATCCGTTGGTGCACAGCAGTGCTACTCATTGGGTTTGTAATAACCCTATACCTTCCTTTGATCCGCTGGCTATGGATCCTTTGGTGGTGGTGATCAATGAGGAGGAGGAGGGTGCTTTGGGTGGGGGTACTAATGCTTTGGGCCCTTTAGATGAAGAAGGTGAAATTCTAGCTTCAGTGGAGGAAGATTTGAGTTGTGCTATGGTACCGGCTGATCATCTGGTTCCCTTGAACTCTATTACTCAGGAGGAACGCACTCTACTGGTCCACTCCATTGCTGCCCCTCATGAAGCTTTGTTTGAGTCCAATGCTATTATGGAGGACCCAGTTGACCCAGTTGCTCAAAAGGTTGAATCGTTAGCGGCTGACTGTGGGATGGATTTTAATATTCTGATTGGAGTAGTTTTTCAGGAGATCATTGCTAAGAAGAAGGTGGAAAGAATGGAAGCTTTGGCGAAGCAAAAGATTGAGTACTTCGAAAAGGACAAGGATAATGGTGTGCAGGCTGATTTAGCGCAGCCAAAGTCTCCAAGTGATGCCCGTGGTAAATCTAAGTGTAAGGGTAAAGGGATAGCTAAGGGTACTAGATCGTCGGTAGGCTGCAGGCGTAAGGCTGTATGCCGCTGAATGCATCGTCTTGTAGGGTGGTGATTGCTTATGACCATATGGTTGACGTCAACTCTGACTCTCCGGATGGGGAGGGGATACTGGGAGAAAGCCTTAAGGTTATGGTGCTGGAAGCTGCCTACTTCGGTTTTCCAAGGGATGGACCAAGTTCATCCTCTTCTTCCCACTTTTGATGAAATATTATCTCCTGGAATGTTATATGTCTTGGTGACCTCAAACGGGAAAAGGATGTTCAGTTTTTTGTGCCTAAGTTTAGGCCGACAATTTTAATTTTGTAGGAAATCAAACTTCCCTGCCCTACGTTCTATGCGGTTAGGGAAGTTTGGGGTTCGGTGTGTGTTAATTTTGTGGGTCATGATGCTATTGGGGCTTCTGGGGGACTGTGGATTCAATCCTTCTGTGTGGTGGAACGTGCAAACTTTCTTGTTATTCGTTTTGTGGGCCCCAATTCTAATTTTGGATGGGGATTATTCAATGTCTATGGACCCCATGAATATGCTCTTAAACAATGTTTTGTTGCTGATATGTCTGACGTTATTCAATCTTTTGAATTTCTTATTTACTTGGGAGAAGGGGGGGGGATGGATTTCAATTCATTAGATGGCCGGATAAAAGTAACTCTCGTGGTACAATCAATCAGGCGATGCGTCTTTTTAATCGCTTTATTGAATCCCATGCTTTTATCGATTTACCAATCTTTGGTGCTTCCTTCACCTGGTCTAATGGGAGTATGATTAATTTGTTTATGTCTAAGCTCGATAGATTTTCTATCTCCAAAGAATGGTCTGAGGCATTTCCTTTAACTTTAGTTAAGGCGCTGCCTAGGCTTTCTTCATATCATGTTCCCATTCTGCTGAGTACAAATAATTTTTCTAGGGGCCCTGCTCCCTTTAGGTTTTAAATTTGGTGGCTGCAGGAGAAGGAGGTGATTGAATTAATTAATAGTACTTGGGGAAACACCATTACAGTGGGCTCATTCGATTTCCAACTTCACAATAACTACTCAATATTAGGCATAAGTTAGTGGCCTGGAAAGGGATACTCGTGTCAACGTTAGGAGTGAGATTGATGAAGCTCTTAATAAAATCATGTTGGTAGATTATCATATTGAATCAGTGGGGTTTTAATCCAAGGAGTTGAAAAGGGAGTGGGATGACTGCTTGACTATGCTTCATGAGGTTAGAAGGATCGAAGAAATCTATTGGAGACAACATTCTCGTGTTAAGTGGCTCAAATAAGGGGATTTGAATACGAAATTATTCCATGCCATGGTTAATGCTAGTACTAGGCATAATGATATGTATAGTCTCCGTATTCAGGATGTTGGTTCGGACGACAAGGATCGCATGGCTGAAGTTGTCTATAACCACTTCCCGCTGGCCTTTACCTCTGAGGTTAAGGTCACCCCTAGCTTAGCTAGAGTTGGGTTTCGAGTTTTGCCATCTTTTGGGGTTTCTTTCTTGGAAGAAGAAGTTACTATGTCAGAACTTAGGAAAAGCAGTTTGCTCCTCACCAGGTGATAAGGCGCGGGGCCCTGATGGCTTTCTTTTAATATTTTTCTATACCTTTTGGCATGTGGTCAATGTTGAGCTCTTGAATATGGTCAGAGGTTTTCTAAGAAGTGGGGATTTGTTTTGAGGGGTTAACTCCACCTTTATCACCCTAATCCCTAAGAAATATGTTATTGCCTCTTTGAGGGATGTCAGACCTATTAGTTTCATGTAGAGCCTTTATAAATTTGTTGCTAAGGTGTTAGCATAGCGGTTAAAAGTGGTGCTTTCGTATATAATTTTGG